CACAAAATATTTTACAAAAAGTTATTTGTAAGTAAAAAATTTGAAGAGAAAAGAATTAAAAAGAATTTTAAATTGAAAAAAAAAATTTATGACGTAAAACAACACAGCAAAAAAAAAAAATTCTCAAATCTCTCCATTGTCTCCGTGCATAGAGACAATTACTTTCCATACCTCCCACCAAGTCTCATCTCTTCACTCCGTGCTCAACCACTCTTATATAGATATAGTAGGGATATAAGAAAAAAATCACTTTCACGTAAAAAAAATTAAAAAATAAAGATATCTAGTAATAATATAAGACAAAATATTTTACAAAAAGTTACTTGTAATTAAAAAATTTGAAGAGAAAAGAATTAAAAAATTGTTTTAAAATTCCTTTTTTCTTAGTATTATAAATATTTTTTTCGATTTAAAATTCTTCTTAATTCTTTTCGTTTAAAACACAACTTTTTCATTTTTAATTAAATAATATTTATTTTTAATTTTGATTATTTCAATTTAATTTAAAAACTTTATAATAACCTTTTTTTTTGCTTCTTTTTATTTTTGCCTGTAATTTTTTTGTTGTTAACCCTACTATATCCCTATCCCTACCATATAAAAAGAAGAATGTGAAATTACTGTAGAATCAATAGTGACTTGTTCCATTTTGTCTCACTGTAACAGATTTTATTTTTTTTCAAGTGGGGGAACAAAAACAATGCCGTCTGTCTTAGTTATATTTTATTATACAGTGTACCTCTAAATTTACTGTAACACGCAACTTTCCATACCTCCCACCAAGTTAACTTAAAATTTAAAGAAATATTTAGATATATTTAATTCTTTAAATTAAATATTAATAAAAAATTACTATAAAATTAAATATTGTTTGGAATTATTAAAAAATAAAAATACTAATAATAAGACAGAAAATATTTCTAAAAAGTAAAAAGTTACTTGTGTAAGTAAAAAAAATTGAAGAGAAAAGAATTTTAAATTGAAAAAAATTATTTATAATGTAAAAAAATAAAATAAAATAAAATCTTCCATGCACGGAAACTTTGAAATCTCTGCGCATGAGACTTCTCTGTGCATCCGTGCACGGAGGCTATTATTATTATTATTATTATTATTATTATTATTATTTTTACAATATAGATAAATTTCTTTTCTTATCATAATAAATATTAAAATTTCAAATTTAACTAAATAATATTTATATATTCTTTATTTAATTTTTGTAACTTTCTTTTATTTCATTTTTATTATATTTTTTTGAAAATTGTTTTAAAATTTCTTTTCTCTTCATATTATAAATATTTTTTTCGATTTAAAATTATTTTTAATTCTTTTCGTTTAAAACTTAATTTTTTCCATTTGAATTAAATAATTTTATTTTTAATTTTAATTATTTCAATTTAGTTTTGATGAATTTTTTCGAAAAATTTGTAATAGAGGTTTTAAATCTTTCAAAAATGTAAAACGAAGTATTAAACCTTTAAATCGTAATAGACATGTTCGAAACCTTTTAATAAATGCATGATAGAAGGAATTTTGGACAATTTCTGCTCAAATGACTGCTAATTGACCAAAAGATAAGTATTTGATCTTAATTAGACCAATTTTAAAAAGGACAAAAGAGTAACTAACATTTTATTTACTTAAAATAAATAAAATAAGAAAATAATTTAAAGAAAAGAGTAACTAATATTTTTAATTATTTTAGTTGATTAAATATTAAAAACATTTTTTGTCCTTCATTAAAATGCTTAAATGTAGGATAAATTATGACATTTGGCCAACTAATATACATTTGGACAGAAATTATCTAGAGGTCCTTTTACAGCACATTTATTGAAAGATTTGGAACCTAGCTCTTACGATTTAAAGATTGAGACGGCATTTCATATTTTTGAAAAGTTTGAAATATTTGTTAGAAATTTCCCATTTTAAAGTTATTTTTTCCACTTAAATACTTAAAACACAAAAGTATGAGAAAACCAGACCCATGACTTATCTTTTTTTTTTTTTTATGTGCCTATCCCATGAAGTGGTTCACGGCCTAATCTTTAGCTTACCCACTCATTTTGACATCTAATCTTACAGGTATAAATTGATAGCAACCCTACAATTTCTAAGAGTTATGCCCTTAAAATTATTTATTCAAATTCTACCCTACAAACTAACAAACATATCAAAAATACTCTACAACCAACAAACCTAAATTGACCAGTGCTCAATAACCCATAGTTTGTCTATCCAAGAAGAACAATTTCCAAATAGCACAAAATCAAAACGATTTCCAGCCATAATTCAGCCAGGATTGTTCTGAAATTAATTTTGTCCAAACACTATAAACAAAAATTGTTGAGATTCAAGCAAATTTCAGATTCATTGGTTGCAAAATTCAATGTGTTAGGTCTAAAAGTGTAATTGACGATTTTGTTGACAAAATGGGCTAAATTGTATAATTGTAAAAGTCAGGGACTTAGGGTGCAATCTGTATAGATGAGGCAAATTAGTGTTTGAGTCATTGATGGAGTCCAAGATATCCATGAAGATCACACAAAATCATCGCAATGCAATTGGAAGTCTAAAGGATATCAAAGAGCCGCACAAATTATGTTCCGGATTTTCAGTCATAACTTGCAATGCATTTTTCACATAGAAAAAGTTGGAATTTGGGCAAGGCTACTTCTAGAAGAATTGTATCCCTTTGAGTTATCTTTCTAATGCAACTTGAATCACCTCAATCGGACATCGGAAAAGAAAGTTATGATGAAAATACTGACAATTGCTCACTGTCGCTCGCTGCTCGCTGGCATTTCGCTCGAGTGAGAAAAATAGAATACCTCTCGCTCGATTCTCTTTGGCTCTCGCTCGAGCGACACTCCTATGCGGAAAAAACCCTATTTCGCATTTTTGAAGTATTTTACTCGACGCATACCACCTAGACACCTTCAAATATAAATACTCAAACACTACGACGAAATTGCAGAGATTGCCACACTATTCTTTCATTACCAAATATATTCATAACATCTTTGACGTGATCCAAGGTCAAATTAATTAGTGATTCCATCTACGTCAATTTTGTGATCCGGCAACCATTGTTTTGGGAAATACATCGGATCTACATAACTCAAAACACCTTACTTCCTTAATCTATTGAGGAAGGGACTCTCTTATTGGAGGATTGAGAGAGGTGGATTGAGGCGCAGTTACAGGCACAAGAACGAGCGGTTCTTGGTGTTCCACTTGGTGATACAATCAGCTAAGGACCAGGAGATTGTAGTGGATAGCAGATTGGGCTACAGGAGGTAGATCGGGAAGTCTAGAAGGAGGCTAAAAGTATCTACAGTAGTAGATTGTAAGATTGGAACAACGGGTCTGATTGGGTACAGAGTTTGGTATAACTTGTACTTGCTGAATTGGTATAGTAGAGGTAACTGGCTTGGTCCCGGAGTTTTACCCACGTTGGGATTTCTCCGTCATCATATTGTTTGTTATTTACTACTTTCCATAATATACAAACTGCAGCATTCCAACATTGGTTAATTGATTTGTATGATTAATCACCTAGACAGCTAATTAAAGTGACTTGTTGTTTTAGTTAGATTAGTTCCGCACGTGAGGTCAAATTGGTTAAAGTAAAATCTAGAACATAAACTTGGTAACACATAAAATTTGAACTTGACACTGTATCACGTTAGCCGAACTTTCTAGTATATCTAAGCGTTCTAGGTTGAATTTCTCAAGAAGAAACGTATAATTGAGGGAGAAAAAAACATGTAAAAGAGCATACACGTAGGGGTCATTGGGAAGAGACATATATCATGAGAGTTTGCAGTATGGGAGAGCATTGCATTGCATTTCATATTACATCTATCTGTTTGAGTTTTGATATTTAGTGGTATTGGTGTTTTGATTGGCATCAATATCACGTCTCAAACTAGCATGTTGACTTGTGATTAAGTATTTTAGTTGTTGTATTTCTTGTATCACGTGCTTTTACACTGGGTATATGAGTATGTGGATTTCAAGAAACAACTACAAGAAGGAATGCAAGACTCAGTTATTAGAATTACTGGGTAGTATAGTTTTGGTTGTTAAGTTCTGACTTATTTTTGTAAAGTCTTGACTTATTGTGTATGGTTTTGTCACAAAATGCCAAAGGCGGAGTTTTTTAGGTCTAAAAGTGTAATTGGCGATTTTGTGGACAAAACGGGCTAAATTGTATAATTGTAAAAGTCAGGGACTTAATTGAACATTGGTGTAAAAGTCAGGGAGTTAGGGTGCAATTTCTATAGATGAGGTAAATTAGTGTTTGAGTCATTGATGGAGTCCAAGATGTCTAAGAAGATCACACAAAATCATCGAAATACAATTGAAAATCTAAAGGATATCAAAGAGCCGCACAAATTATGTTCCGGATTTTCAGTCATAACTTGCAACGCATTTTTCACATAAAAAATAGAAAATTTTGGAATTTGGACAAGGCTATTTTTAGAAAAATTATATTCCTTTGAGTTATCTTTTAAACGCAACTTGAATCACCTCAATCGGACATCGGACAAGAAAGTTATGATAAAAATACTAACGATTACTCACTATCACTCGCTTCTCGCTGGCATTTCGCTTGAGCGAAAAAAACATATTGATTTTCTCTGGCTCTCGCTCGAGCGACACTCCTATGCGGTAAAAATCCTATTTTTCATTTTTGAAGTGTTTTACTCGACCTATACCACCCAGACACCTTCAAATATAAATACTCAAACTCTAGGACGAAATTGCAGAGGTTACCACATTATTTTTTCATTACCAAACATATTCATAACATCTTTGAAGTGATCCAAGGTGAAATTAATTGGTGATTCCATCTACGTCAATCTTGTGATTCGGCAACCATTGTTTTGGGGAAAAACATCAGATCTACATTACCTAAAACACCTTACTTCCTTAATTTATTGAGGAAGGGACTCTCATTGGAGGATTGAGAGAGGTGGATTGAGGCGCAATTACAGGCACAAGAACGAGCGGTTCTTGATGTTCCACTTGGTGATACGATCAGTTAAGTACCAGGAGGTTGTAGTGGACAACAGATTGGCTACAAGAGGTAGATTGGGAAGTCTAGTAGGAGGCTAGAAGTATCTACAGCAGTAGATCGTGAGACTGAAACAACGGGTCTGATTGGGTACGGAGTTTGGTATAACTTGTACTTGCTGAATTGGTATAATGGAGGTAACTGGCTCGGTCCCGAAGTTTTACACACGTTGGGATTTCTCCGTCATCATATTGTTTGTTACTTACTGCTTTCCATAATATACAAATTGCGACATTCCAATATAGGTTAATTGACTTGTATGATTAATCACCTAGACAACTAATTAAAGTGACTTGTTGCTTTAGTTAGATTAATTCCGTACGTGAGGTCAAATTGGTTAAAGTGAAATCTAGAATGTAAACTTGGCAACATATAAAATTTGAACTTGACACTGGATCGCGTTAGCCGAACTTTCTAGCATATCTAAGCATTCTAGGTCGAATTTCTCACAATGAAAGCTGAAAACTACTTCAGATTTGGAGTCAAGCTTACTTCATTATAAAATTCTGTTCAATCTTTTTTTACTACATCAATTAGCTATAATAAGGTGAGAAATATTTAGGAATAATTGCAATCACAATCCTAAAGCTTTTTAAATTGTTGCAACCATTACCCTGACTTTTCTTTTGTAGCAATGTTGGTCCCAAAGAGCAAAGTGGAAACATAAATTCCAGTAATAATCAGCTTTTAATAATCATCACTAGGTGTTTCTTCTTCTCTTTTCTAGAGTTTAATGTGTTCTTATTTCTATTTTGTTTTCCAAATTTTTCTGGCGTCTAGCTAGATTTTTTCTAGCGGCAAGTTAGTTTCCTTTTTTCCCTTCTTTTCTCCTTCTTTGTTATTTGATTTATATTTTTTTTCCTTTTTTCCTCGTTTTTCGAATTGGCTTTGTTAAATTCCCAAAAAAAAATTAAAAAAAATTATTGATGGAGTTTAAAGTCTGCGTGCACGGAGGCACGAAATATCCGTGCATGGAGACTTAAAGCCTCCGTGCACAGAGTAAATGTACCGTAAGTGTGCCTCCGTGCACGGAGACTTAAAGCCTCCTTGCACAGAGTAAATGTACCGTAAGTTCTAAAAATTTCTTCCTCAGTAGTCCATGATCCCTTCTTTGAACCAACTTTCTTAAAGCATTATTGGCTTCCCATCTTCAATTCAAATTTTATATAAATTAAGTTATCAATCAAATGGACTTGTATAGAAAGAAAAAAGAAAGAAACTTTGAACAGGAATATAGCAGAAATCGGATAAACTGCCTAGACTAGCCATCTACAATCCTCTTGGAAGAGCAGGAGTGCAGAACGCGAGAATATAATGAATAGAATTTTATATTCAGATACTTGTTAAGACAAATCAAAGGTTGGAGGAAACTAAAAATCTACAAGAATGTGAGAAAATAATTTTGATGAAGGAACGAAAATTTTCATGGAGTTCAATTAACAGGACTTCATCTACTCTGAACTCATTGCTAACCTCCATTAATGGGCTTGAAGCCATGTTTTTGCCTTCATCTTTGCCCTCTGTAATGGTGGATTGCACTGAGATTCCAGTGTCTTTGTTTTGATCTACCGCGTCTAATGGTGGTTCTTGTTCCGCCAAAGGATTTTGTGTATGTTCTTTCAACGGCAATGGAAGCGGTGGGGGGTTGCGGGACATGGGATCTATTCCCATGTTCCTCAGCTTTTTCTTGATGCTTGTCTTCCAGTAAATTTTCATATTATTATCAGTTCTTCCGGGGAGATGAGAAGCAATCTTGGACCATCTACAAAACATCGCTAAAAATGCCAAATTTATGTGGTTCGTAGTACTAAACTACACTGTTTAGGACAACAAAAATACAATTTACCTTCATTTAAGTTCAATAATTATACAAAAATAAATAAATAAAAATTGAGTCCTGTTTTCCAAGCTTGGGATGAAGGTCAATAATTATCTTCTCTTCATCTTCAGATAGAAATCCTCTCTTCAAATTTGGTCTAAGATAATTTGTCCATCTCAATCTGCAGCTTTTTCCACACCTTAGTAATCCTGCAATGTTATCAAAACATATTAATAATATAAACTTGATTTCTTGAAAACAAGAAATAGCCTAAAGATTTTCTATTGTTGGAGGATAAGAGACTATATACATGTAAACAAATTCAAAAACTAGTGATTATTTAAATTAAATGTTTAGAAAGCAATTTCAACACAAGACTTGACACCTCTCCTCCTCTCAAACACAGACTATCATGATGTTCATTCTCTAATAGCTTAAACTTTTAAATAAACTGGCACTCAAATACCACAATGTGCTCTCTTTCACTAAATGGACGCTTATTACTTTTTCTCTTTTTTATTCACCAGTGACAAATTTTCCCCCATTTTAACAGAAAGGAAACATAGACGGCAAATTATGAGCATAACTTGGGGAAGATCACTAATATATGACACATGAGATTTAAGTTTTTGGTGAGTTTTAAACCATCAAGTTCAATTAACCTTTGAAGCTGACAACTTACACTTTCTCTGCAAAAATGATATCCCTTTCTTTCTTTGTTCTTCACCTTGTTGAATTTTTTCGATTGGAAATATTGTCGAGAATATGCTTAAAGCATTGTCATGATTGTGATTATTATTAACCTTCCTCAATTTAATTTATTTCTTCTCTTGTCATTTAGGACCTTTTGTGACAAATGTACTCTTTGTTACATAATTTCGTCTTTGCTGGAATATAATTAAAGGGTTTTGATCAAAGATCATTTCATTGTTGTGATGGGACTGATACATTTCTTTCTTGGATTATCTCAGTGAGACTATATAAACAAGAAAAGAAGACCTGGAACCAAGTTGATGCTGCAGGCCTTTTTTCTTGGATTTCTATGGTGTTTATATACAAGGAAGAAAAGATTATTGTAAGGGTTTTAAGATTTTCTTTTAAGTTTTCAAAGATTTCCCTATGAAACTCTTAACTGGCAAAGAGGTAGAAGAAATTAATCAATGAACCTGTTGACCTCCAAAAATGGCTCCAACAGGCACCCTAGCCTCGCCCACTTGAAACCTGCACAAGTAGCACCCCGTCAAGAGGCAAAGGTGACCAGAGGAGAAAAAGATCCGACGACCGTTTACACACCGACGGTCAAGTCAACGGTCGGACGGAGATAGATATATAGAGTGCAATAATATGGAGATCGGGATTTGGCTAGGGATGTAGAACATACCTTAACTTGTGAATTGAATCCATATATATAGAGAAATGATGTGAAATGGGCCAAGGCGGGTTAATGGGCATAAGTTCGAGCCCAGTATGAGGTGAGCAAAGTGATAGGCACTTCGATTGGGCTTTTTATAGCCTCGATGGCGCCTCGGCTAGGCTTCTTAGAGCCTCGACTTTGGGTCCAACACTAATGGGCTTGGCTCGGGTCCAATAAGGTGACCCAATATGGAGTGATAATTCGTAGGCGTAACAGTAGTCCCCCAAGTCCGAGTCGTGTTATTTATATGCGGGTCGGACTTGAAATCTAAACTCTCAAGTAGGCGAGGGCCTACAGATTGCCTCAGAAAGATGAGTAGCTCAGTAAGTGAGGACTTTCGAACTGCCTCGAAGAATGTGTGCAAGTCAGAATAAGTGAGGAATTACGAATTGCCTCGAAAGATATACTGCATATATTTTTTTGAAATTTCGACAGCATCTCCTCTGTAATATGGACTAAACCAATCCTGTAATATAATACAATATATCCACAGTACATATGCCAAATAAATTTGGGGCCCATTTGCCCCTTCAAATGCTCAAAAGGTGTAACATATCACATAATTTGCCTTCAAATGCTCATAAGGTGTAACATATCACATTTCTCCAAGATATGTGCACAGGTTCTATCATGCATTATAGTAAATCATGTGCTCGCATAGCTCGGTGTATAAGTAGTGCTTCATCATGCATTATAGTAAATCATGTGCTCGCACAGCTCGGTGTATCAGTAGTGCTATAGTGAAGCAAGTAACATGATGTCGGCAATAAAATGAAAATGATGATGATACGACATACGTACTGGCTGTGATGAAAATAATGTATGACATGGGTAGTAGTGATATGTCATTCATGCTTGGAAGCAGTAATGTGATGCGTATGCTAGCAGTAATATGCGGCCCCCCAAGTCTGAGCCGAATATTTATATACGGGTCGGACTTGAAGTACCACTATGATAAAGTTGGTGTAGAGGCGCTGCTTTGATAGCAGAGGCGGTGCTCTGGACTAAATATAAGTAGCTGTACTGATACTGAAGCATATTGATGTATACCAGCCGTTGACTCTTTAAGATCAGCTGAGTGTATGGCTGCTGCTGCGGTTGTAGGTTCAACTGTTTCTACCGAAGCGCTAACTCATAGACAATGCATGGGAGATGCTGAAGCTTGTGAAGTTAAAGATCGGGACACATCTTCAAAGAAGGAGCTCATCTACCACCAGTGCGCTGACTCATAAGGGACGACGCGTTGGAAGACGACTAAAACTTTGTAAAGTTTAGGAGGGAACGCAGCTACCGAGACGATGATCCACAGGGGACTCCGCGTCAGGTGCATCTAAACTTTGTAAAGTTGAGTAAGGAGCTCATCTGCCACCAGTGCGTTGACCCACAGGGGACGACGCGTAGGGAGATGATTGAAGTTTTGTAAAGCTTAGGAAGGAATGCAGCTGTCGAAGCGATGACCCACAAGGGACTCCGCGTCAGGTGCATCTAAGCTTTGTAAAGCTGAGGAATATGCTTATCTTCGATCGATGTGGGAGATGGTTGAAGGTCGATAAAGCTTTTGCAACGTTGCAATCGAGGCGATGACCCACAGGGGACTCCGCGTCGGAAGGGTTGAAGCTTTGTCAAGCTGTGGACAACATCTGGTGAGGCGGGAGATAGACGTCCCGTGAATAAGTTTCGAACTATCGGAGCTTTAGTGACTTACCTCGAAATGACAAGGACTTAGAGTGAGGAACATATCTTGCGAAGCCTTGAATAAACATCTGACAAACTGTCGAACGATCGAAGTCTTATAAGCTAGGCTCGGATGGACGAGGGCTTAAAGCTAAGCTCGATGATAATGAGGCGGGGAATAAACATCCCGCGAAGAGGTCAGGAAATGCTCCTTTTGCAAGGGCGAACACATCGAATAATTTGTCTCGTCCTTTATTCAAGGAACAAAGACTTCAAACATACCGCCTCTTCCTTTATTCAAGGAACGACAACCTCTTCCTTTATTCAAGGAATGAGGACTTATAAATATCGCCTCTTCCTTTATTCAAGGAACGAGGACTTCGGTATGCTTGAATAATTCAAGTGCCATAATGTGAATAAGTTTCCCTTCATAATCAAGAGTTGGCCAAGTATGATTTTCTGGAGGTTGTTTCATAAATCAGTTCAGCATTCTTTACAAGTACAGGGACTCCATGAATCATCAGCAAGAATATGGCAAGCCACAACAACTTACTGGGAGAGTGCAAACTTTTCTCGACCTAACCAAAACTCCGGCTACCTTAAAAATGCCTTGTCGCTGGAGGCCTTAATATCGTGGACACTAGATTTTATCAATGAATTATAGTGCCAAGACAAACTTTGGATGAGGAGATTATGTAAAGTATAAACATAGCCCAATAAAATAAACCACTCCTTGAGTTCATGTTTCTGAAAGAACGAATATATTATTACCATGGCTAGAGAGAAGAGATAAGACCAGTAGGCTGAAGCGTCTAGCAGGTCTCATGGGTCGGCCCACTATTGCTGTCGGAATGGCAGAACCGAAGTGGGTGAAGGAGTCAAAGTCTGCCTTTTACTGTGACTACGGCAAACCCGCCAAAATGGAAGGTTGAAGCGAGGCCGAAGTGAGAAAAATTGAAGTGGTAGAACTGTCGAACTCGGGGAACTGAAGCGGGAGGGCCAAAGCTAGAACCGAAGTGGTCCTCCCTTGGTTATTCCAGCAAACTAGATGTCCAAGTGATTCCAGCAGTCGAAGTGGACGAACCGAATTAGAAGGGTTGAAGTGGAAGGATTGAAGTCTGTGATTACAGCAAGCTGAAGTGCTCAATAGGCCTAGGTGCTTCAATATACTTGGAAGAGTTGTTGAAGATGCCAGAATTCGCCTCATGGGTTTGCCCAAGTCAATTATAGCAGCCTGAGTGAAAGAGCCGAAGTGGGTGGAAGAACCGAAGTCTCTTTTCATTATGATTGCGGCAAACCTGCTAAAATGGAATGTTGAAATGAGGCCGAAGTGAGAAGAATCAAATGGTAGAACTGCCGAACCGGGGAGCTGAAGCGGGAGGGTCGAAGTGGGTGGAACCGAAGAAAAATTTCCATGGTTATTCCAGCAAATCAGATATTAAATGATTCCAGCAGTTGAAGTGGAAAAATCGAAGTGGAAGAGCCAAATTAGGTGGACCTGCCGAAGTGGAAGATCGAAATCTGCTTGCAGTGGTGATTACAGCCAACTCCCACGTCTAATAGTCCCAAATGTTTTAATATATTTGGAAGAGTTGGTGGCCAAGGAAAAATACATTTTTGCAGCCCATATTTATGTAACCCAATAAGAATAAATTTTAGGCCCAATAGCATAGTCCAAAAGAAGTATTAATTACTAGATAATAGATATAGAAGATTTGTATTTGTTTGGCCAAACCTGGGAAGAAAAGTCAACCAAATTATGCACATGACAACTTGCAATCTCTGCAAACGACTGAGAGTTACATCAACAGGCTAGAAAGGCTAGTCACTAGCAAGGCTTTGTCTCCATCAGGGCTAATGTTGGTAGAAAGGGCAAAGACCATTTACCGCCAGTTACTATGGTCTTGCAAGAAGCTGCTAGTGCCGGTGGCTGCCTTAGTGACCTTTGCCGGAGATGATAAAATGCAAGGAGAGACGGAGATGGTTGGATGCCAAAAAATCCAATTTATTCCTCTTTAGGAGAGATTTCATATTTTTGTGGTGGGACTTTGCTGGGTACATGTTTTGTAAACATAATGTTGCCGACAAATAAAAAATGAGGTGGGAGCTATTTCCTTTTTGTTTGTTGCTGGGAGCTTCGGTTTTAGAGGAGAAGTAGTGGAAAGGCTCCCCCGTTTGTTGTAGAATTTTGGTAGAGATTGCCTCCATTTTTGTGGTTTTGTTTTGCATTTTCTTTGCTGCTGGGTTTCTCCAACGAGTGGGTGGAAATGGACCAGCAATAATGGGGACAAAACAAAGAAATTCCTTTCACCATCCACTTGTAAATGGTTATGGAATAAGAGGCAAGTTTTTTTTTTCTTTTTGTTGTTACCTTGTTTGCCACTTCGATTTCTTGCCGGAAAATCTCCTTTTTCAAGGAATTTTACACACCTCTGTTAGTCCTTCTAGTGGCTATGTTTTTTGCCAAACATAACCATTTCATGGTGGGTTTTTTCAACCCTTTGTTGGTCGCAAATCTCCTTTTTCAAGGAAATTTTCATGCCTCTGTTGGTTTGTTGCAGTAGCTATTTTCTTCTATTCTTGGGTTGCTGTCTTCGCTCATTTGGTACCACACTGGCCGGAAATAATATTCTTTTATATGTGGTATAACATAGTTAATGTAACAATTTCCCACAGACGTGGCCAATCTGTTGATCTCCAAAAATGGCTCCAACAGGCACCCTAGCCTCGCCCCCTTAAAACCTGTGCAAGTAGCACCATTCAAGAGGCAAAGGTGGTCAGAGAAGAAAAAGGTCCAGCGACCGTTTGCAATCCGACGGTTAAGTCAACGGTCGGACGGAGAGAGATATATAGAGTGCAATAACATGGAGATGGGGATCTGGTCTAGAACATACATTAACTTGTGAATTGAATCCATATATATAGAGAAATAATGTGAAATGGGCCAAGGCGGATTAATGAGCCTATGTTCGAGCCCAGTATGAGGTGAGCAAAGTAATAAGAATTTCGGCTGGGCTTTTTATGGCCTCGGTGGCGTCTCGGCTAGGCTTCTTAGAGCCTCGGCTTTGGGGCCCAACACTAATGGGCCTGGCTCGGGTCCAATAAGGTGACCCAATATGGAGTGATAATTCGTAGGCGTAACAGAACACATCATCTTTATTTTACAAGAAAATTTATACAAACGCAAGCCCACTCTTTTCCTTGCCACACTTGGAATTATTTATTAATGAACATCTATTATGGTGTATCAAAGGGAGTATGTCCGCATTTATGAAATGATTGGCAGTTGTAATTGATGCCAAAAAGTCTTTGTTCT